ATTTGAAGTGGCCCAAACTTCACACTTATATAGGTGACCTCCCTATCAAGAGTATCATGTCTTACTCCACCTTTACAAGGTTAGGGATTCATTAAAAGTCCACATGACTTAACCTCACCACAATCAACATGTAATCTTACACTTGGAGTGCTCTAGGGAATTTCTTTGGACATTTATATGTTCCAAGTGCTCGACCGAATTTTTATAGCTTAGTTTTCCCTTTGAACCAAGTTTGTGGGATCTCCACTCAGCATGGTAGGGTTACCACTATGATCATTCTTTACTTTGTGGATTTTTAAGCCCATTCCCTCTAGCAAAACTGTCAATTGATCTCTAGTCAATCCTTTCGTCAAAGGATCAGCCAAATTTTCCTTAGACTTCACATAGTCAATGGAAATAATATCATTTGTGATCAATTGACGTACGGTATTATGTCTACGACGGATATGTCTAGACTTACCGTTATACAAGTTGCTTTGCGCCCTACCAATAGCAGCTTGGCTATCACAGTGAATCATCACAGGTGGCAAAGTCTTATCCCAACATGGAATATCAGATAGAAAATTTCTAAGCCACTCGGCTTCTTCACCAGCTTTATCTAAAGCGATGAACTCCGATTCCATCGTTGACCGAGCTATACACGTTTGTTTTGTGGATTTCCACGAAACTGCACCTCCTCCAATACAGAAAACATATCCGCTAGTGGAGCGAGAATCTCTCGAATCTGATATCCAGCTTGCATCACAGTATCCTTCAAGTACAGCTGGGTATCTCGAGTATTTTAACCCGTATTCAAGGATGTACCTTAAGTACTTAAGTACCCTTCTCAAAGCATTCCAGTGCTCATGACTGGGATTTCTCGTAAATCTGCTCAACTTGTTCACCGGATAGGCCAAGTCTGCTCGTGTACAATTTGTCAAATACATCAGACTCCCTATTATCCGCGAATGTTCCAACTGAGCCACTGGTTGACCTTTGTTGACTTCGAGATTTATACTGAGATCAAGGGGTGTCTTACACCTAGACTGTGCACCGTCATAGGT